GAACGCGCACTCGAGGTAAAATTTTAAAAAAATAAAAGAAAAACACAACAACCAAATTCACGCTACGAAAACCATCGGCGAGCGGAGCTCTAGGCGCCCGAGTGTGTATGATTGGCTAGCAAGATCACGCGGTGTCGTAAATCTGGCGCTAGATTTGAAAGACGCGGGCTCACACGCCTCCAGCAGCGAGTGCCAACATCATCATTTTATTATTTATGCGTTCCTTCCTCTGGTCACGTGACATGCGTGAGGCCTACTTCGAATAGTACGACGGCCGCACATTGTAGACCATGACAGAATCGCTGCACAAAAGTACCAACCTCATCAACGTTGCGGTCTTCGTTGACCGCGGCAAGGAGATACTCTCTCCTCGAAAGCTTCCGACTGGCTCATTCTCAAAACGCGGTTTCTTTTTCTCGCCTCGTCATCAGCGGGCAAGCCGCGCCGGCGGACAGCGCGCGGCTCGACTACATGCATAGTTGTTGCTCAGGGATGCAAAAGACGGCCGGATATTAAGCTTGTTTTTTTCATCTTCTCCCGGGGTGGCTCGCTACACTCGCTCGCTATGTAGCTTGCACATTCAGCGCGGCGAGGAACTGCCGCGGTCACGCTGCATCGCTCCAAGCATGTAAGGAGGAGGAGGAGGTATTGCGAGGCAGGGTTGCTTGCTGCAGGCGGCAGCAGAACGAAGCAGTGAGAGAGAGAGAGAGCGTCCGATACGATTAGGCTGGCGCGTCCGTCGGGGCGCTTGCTCGTCTAATTACAACGGACAAGAAGCCGAAACGAAAAACGCGCCCGCGCGCGCCGCGGGTCTCTCCCCCTCCTCTCTCGTGCCCTCTCCCCTTTCCTTCGCCGCTGCCTGGGGAGCGAGCAGGCAGAGACGTTGGAAAGCCCGCAGTTGAGAGGGAAAGAGATAGATACTGAGGATGAAGGGAGCTCTCCCAAAACAACAAGAAAGACGAGTACCGAGAACAACACAACAACAAGCTGCGCCCAGCTACTCCCCGAAGGGCGTGACCAGAGAGACTGACCCCTCCTGGCTGGACGCCGCCGTGGCCTCCGAAGGAAGCCAGCATCTTCTCTGCTAGGAGCGGAGTTGTTCTCTGGACTCACTGGACTCGCTCGCTGCTGGGCCTTCTCCCGGCCGCGTAGCCACACGCGCCGACGCTTCTTGCGGTCTGGTTCGTCGTTCGGGTCGCCGGTTTCGGGACGGAGCGAGTTGGCTCCGAGGCGCGAAGTGGAAGGTTTTCGCTGGGAAATCGCTACTGGGCATGCGAGCTTTCGCTACTCGAGGCTATTCAGGGAGTGCGGGGAAGGGGTCACGTTTGTGCACGGAAGGATGGCAACACGTAAAAGGGGGAGGGGGAAGAGATACACAGACTAGTTTGGATATAGGAGCGTCATTGTCCTCCGTGAGCAACGCTATTTTAAGTTGCGAAATGAAATCGCCCAGGACTTCGAGATACTTAAATAAACAGTACACGCAACTACTTTATCGGTGCCTAGAACAAGAAAGTGTAATCCCGGAAAGCTCTTCTTCTTTCGCAAAATTTAGCAAGTAATGGCACCTCTTCGAGTCAGGTTCCAAACTGAGCTCCCATATTTATGTATGTATAATCACGGTGTAAATGGATTGCCACCGGCACACAGCTTCGGGTAGATAACGAGGACTACCGAGGTCGCGGGGTCGACATCCTGCGACAACCGCGGGGCGCACTCATCGATGAAAGTCTGATGGATCACGGTCAAGCAACGTGTCCAAAATAGGCGTCGATGCCAAAACGCAACGCGAACCGCTGTCTGCTATCCGCGCTCGCTTGCGGGGGCTCCCAAGCTTGTCGGACCGCCAGCGCCATCTATCGCTACTCTCCACCGTCAGCTTCTTCGTGCTTCCCAGTCCTATGCAATCGAACTCGACTCGAAGTTTAAATTAGTTCGGAGGACGGGGTTTTTGGTCATGCGACCGTTGTGCGATCGAAAAAAAAATAAAACAACAACACCGCGCGAACAAAAGCGAGGGGGGGGGGGGGGCAGCCAGCATCGGTGTCTTCGACGTAAGCAACTTGCAAGAGGGGTGGCTCTTTGTTTGTGGCTTTTGCCGATGATCGTTTCAACATTAGGCAACAACAAAAGGAAACGCACAGGCTGCTGCAAATACACGCAGCGGAATGAGAAACACACACGCACAACCACAGGAATTCGCCTGAGCTGTTTGGAAGGCAAAATCATTTTCTTTTCGCATTTGACAACACAATCTCCTACTCCCGCAAGAGTGTGGCAGCTTGGGCTAGTTGGTATGGCACGACGATAGTTATAGCGCGAGAACAAAAACGTGTCTTTCGTGTCCTTCGTGTCTCTGTGTCGTCGTTTTGTTCTCACGCTTTAACTATCGTCATCCCGCAAGAGCTTTTGCGCACCTCGTGTAACTTTGCGGTGTGACGGAAAATCGGCCCATCTATGGCCGAGCGGTGACGTCACGCTATGCAAAACTGGCCCGCGACGACCTATGCCGTGACGTCTTTCCGAGGCGACGATTCTGATCACAAGAGGAAAACGTCGCAGGCAAACGTGGTGGAAGATACAGAAACCAACTGCATCAAAATTATTCAATCAGCGTCCTCGCAGAAGCAGCTCGACGTGAGGCCAGTAAGTAGCACTTTGTACACATGGGAATCAAGATGCTGCCCATTGTTGAAGAACACATGGCGCCAGAAAACTAAAGTCAGCAGGAGACATAGACGTGTCAAATAAATTGTCACTGAACTTTCATTATGCGAATTCACATTAGCACTCACGCTGTATTCAGTCGAACGCGTCCCGTAACGTTAGCCCCACTGAAAGCATGACAACGGGCGCCGTTTGATTTCCTAAAAAAAAAAAAATGTTCTATTGGTTTAACAAGGTTCTTGATTGGGCTGGTTGGTGCTGCATGGTAGACGAAGAAAGTGCTTAACAGGGCAAACGACAGGAGGGAATTGAAGAGACGAGAACAGAGCTGCAACAAAACCTGCGCACGCTCCACAGTGTTCTTTTATTCTTTTGCGATGGTCCTTTTTTTTTATCAAAGGCGCAGAAAAAGAAAAGATTATATCGGACAAGCACAAACACAGGAGCAAGTGTCATACTGCTCTTTTCATTGTCCTGCTCTGTTAATGAAATTAATTCACATCAACTCTCGAGCCACTCTGTTTTCCTACAAACGAAACGAAAGCTGTTGAAAAAAAAAATTGGCGCTCGACTTTATGTTCACTCGCGCCGTACAATCGAAGATTAAGTTACGGAGAGTTGGTTCTATTTTCGCTGAATTCGGCATCCATTCCAGAGGACGAGATGAAAAATACTTTGAACACGGGTTTTCGATGGAGCCATGGTTCCCACATACTGTCTTGTTCAATGCTGCCACTGCACGTGCTGCAACTTAGCACGTGCACAAGTATATCTTACACACACACACACGCGTTAAATTACTGCTGACACGAATTTTAAATATTTTCGGGTTATTTATCTGCATAAATACAACGGGTGTCGAGGACACTAAGAAGTGTCGTAATGACTGGGAATTCATTCAATATTGCTTTAATACCGCAATTTTGAAACGGCAATTATAGTTTCCGGCGTGGCTTCACAGTGACGTGTGAACACATGTCTGACGTCACGAGAAGACCGCCACTCGGGACACGATAGCAACAGCTGTCAGTTAGCTGCCACTCGCACGTGGTTCACGCGAGCAACTACCAATTGAATTGCCGTCCATAGACTCTTACAGTGATTTCTACGATTTATGCTGCGTGCAGGATACAAATTTCGCAAACCCAGCGAACTGGGTTGACGTGTCGTGATAGTGTCACTTGCAATGAGGCTGGCTTGGATACTGGGCGACGTAAATTTCGAGGTGAAAGTAAAATATCTTAAACGGGTTTTCTGGCCCCGGTGAGTGAAGACCGTTGACAATGCACACCGGCGGTAACGAGAAATGTACCAGTTGGTGTGCCTCAGAACCGCGTCAGTACACCTTTCAGGCAGGCGGTTCCAGCCTACCTTGACTTCAACGATACACGGCGTTCAAGAAAGTTTCATCTCTTCAATCGTTTTTTTTTTTTTTCCTGAACTGTCTCACTTTGAATTGGAGAAAAGAAACGCTCAACAAGTGGGCCACGTCACGCGGCGATTTTCCCGGAACAACACAAAGCAGTGCGGATTCTGTTGGCACGAAATCGAGGTGATAAGAAAGCAGCGCAGTATTCGAAAACCGAAGCCCGGAGAACTTCGCAATATGCTGCGTCACGTAAGTAGCCGAACGCACTCCACGGCCACACACTCGGAGGAGACCCGACGCGCGTCCATTTGCTTGCACGAAGCAGGACCAAAACTTGAACTTAATTCGTGAAAGAAGAGCCGCCTGGAGCATACAGCGGTGCACGAGATGCACGGAGCGCGTTATTAGGCACCGCAATCGTCGCAACGAAGTTTAATTTTGACGCTTATGAATTACGACCGGATAACTGCCAGCCTTTTGAACGACAAAAAAGTTTCTCCTACCAAAAACTTTGAAAAAAAAAATAATGAACAGGGGACGAGTTATGTTGTAGCTAATGGTCCGACTAGGGGAGTGTTGATGAAAGTTGACGCGTCAGTTGTAAAACTCTCGCACCGTTGACCAGAGAAGGCGTCACTTGCGTCAAGACAGCACCTACACTGGCCCACAGATGAGAGGAAAATATGCACCCTTTTAGAGCAAAGATACGCCATCTGCGGTACTGTAGAGTTGCGTTCTCAGATGGGTACAACGAATAGCGAGGCTATATACACGTCCCATAGAGATAAACAACGCACATATGATACATCACAATATTGCACAGACTTTGGTATTTCAAAATCATCGGTGTGAGGCATGGCTTCCAAGAAGCAGCTAACTTGTTATAACGGCGCTCTCCCATCCGAATCTCCCTCGTCCAAGAAGCGAACAATTATAGAAAACGCAAATGAAATGGTCAACTCACATTGGATTCGTGGCATTCCAGTAAATATCCGCCAGCCGTACGCAGGATACATCCACCGGTAGTGCTTCAATAATCGCCAACACGAAAAACAGGAGAATCCAAGGCATGGTGATCACGGTCCGAGACGGGAACTCCGTCGGCGTCGGGTTTGTCGTTCTTCTCCAAGCCCGAAAACACCGACTCTCCGCTGGCGTCGTTTCTCACAGAAGCCTCGAAATCCCGTGAAAGGAAAACAAAAAAATTAAAACTTTGTCGGTGTGGAGTTTGCCAATGTCGCGACGCGCAGATTTCTTCTTCGCACGGTGCAATGGCGCACAACACACACTCAGACGCACGGGGGTTGTTGTTTGCTCGAAGAAAAAACTTTTTTTCAGCAATAACAGAAATGTGACCGGGCTTGAGGGGGGAAACAAAAGCGCAGTGCACTTTCGTTTGTGGGCTGTCACACGTTCACTTATGCTTTTTTTCTGTTATCCTTCCAAGGAGATTCAGTAAGGCGAGACAAACGTCAGCCTGCGACGCACGACCACCTAGCATAGGGAGCCGAGCGGTCGTGCCTAGTATCGCATGCCATGGTGGTAGCGGCCGTGGATTCTAAAACCGCGCTACCTCTCTGCCGAGGTGCGGCCGAACAAAAGATTCACAGAGACCGCGTCGCAGGAGGCCTCATTCCTGGGAAGGTCGTGCGCCCTTGTACACCCAAGTTCGGCTTCCTCGCACCGTCCGAGCTTCTTTTCTTGCCGGCACCGATTCCAAACACACTCCTGTTTTCGAAGTCGCGTCGTCACACCGTGTTTTCTAGCATCGGGTCCTTCGAAGTTCGGACTTTCTCTCCCCGCTCGGAGTCGTCAAGTCGTACACGGCAGTAGTCGTTCGGGCCTTTTTTTTTCCCCCGAAGTTGCAACAGCACCCAACACAAAACACCACGCACACAGCGAACACACACACACTTCCGTCAGCTCGGGATGTTGCACTGTACTGTTGCGTCGACTACCCAATTCGAGACGAACTCAAACACTCACAGCAGGCTGGACCACGCTTCAAAAGTAGCGATGAACGAAACAAAAATAATAAGCATCCGGGCGCCGCTTGTGCAGCGCAACGAAAAAAAAACAAGGAGGCGTACTTCTCCAGCGGCGCCGCCGACTCCAAAACAACACCGCCGGCTGCGGATCAGCTGCCGCTTGGAAGCCAACTGACGCCCGGTTCGGGAGCGCACGGACCGGTTCCGTCGCGGCCACCAGGGGGAGAAAGGAGCGCGAGCGATGCGCTTGACCAATGGGAGCGAGCATAGGGCAGCAGAAGACGGCGACGTCACGGAGACGTGCACTCGCTTTGCGACGACGTGTCGAAGTAAAAGAGCGAAGCGTTCAAAATATGGAGGAACGACGGAGAGGGCCCAAATGAGAGAGAGACCGGACTCGAAGTGGGGAGAGAAAAAGCGGCCGCTCCACAAGTGCAACAGGAGGGTGGGGTGTCGTCCGAAACGGCGAATTTCTTACCTGGCGAGAGATGTGTTGCGTGTCGTTTGTTTGGCTCGTTCTTTTTGCTAGCTCGCACTCTTCCTATTTATTACGAGCGAGTTCGGAGTTCTTTTTCGCTTCTATCGTTCGGTTGAGCCGATTTGTTTTTCGAGAGCCCGCGTTTCTCCGTGCACTTCTCTCCGAAACCACCGAGACGGGTTACTTTATTCTATTCACTCTTTATTTCGCGTATTATTTCTCTTCTTGCGCGTTGTTTCCGTCTTTGAAAGCGCCCGGTTTGCTGGTTTCGATTATTTCGGAACGTCTGTTTCGCTGTTATCTCGGGCCCCTGCTCCAATACCTATTTCATCTTTGCACCGACGCCCATGCTTGCTTTCTCCCGTTTTTTTTTTTTTTTCTCCTCGGTACTTTTTTCACTCGCTTTGATGTTTAGTGCGGCCGTACCAAGTGTGGTGCGGCGGTTTGTTTTAAAAGTCCCGCAGCCCGCCGCACACACAATACCCTCGCGCCGGCGTCTGGTACACGAAAAATATGGGCAGCGCATTTCAAAGCGGTTCTTTATAACATTCCCTATTCGCCTCATAGCGCCTTCGTTTCATACCTACTTTTCTTTCACATAGGTCCTTTCTTCTTCTCTCTTTCTATCTTTTCTTGCGCAGCTATTTCCTGTTAGACTACAAAGGTACAAAAAGGATCCACTGATAACGCACCGATGTAAGATGCATCCATGCTCTATTCTGTTCCCCTCGCTCTATTTTTTTTTCCTTTTTGTTTTATTCACACCATCACCGGAAGTTCGGCTCTGTTGCGATACATCGAGTACCAAAAAAAAAAAACGCATCGTAGTACGAAACTTTTTATTTTTATTTTTTTATCTACAAGTACTGCTGTCACATGCCTGGGACATTGCAGGAGCGGGTACAGAAAAATCAACAAAAGCACAGAAACAAACAATAGTGCGCACAAATTTATGTGACTAACACATAAAATTTTTCCCGAACTCTACAGTGTTCAGTCTACAGTGTTCAAAAACAGATAGCGCCCGCACCTAAAGCGCCCAATTGCCGGTTTTCTGAGTTCTATATTTTCATATAGATTCATTCTTCCCGTATCTTCACCTCCACCGCCAACAACAAAAAGGTGCGTTGTGAACGCTAGAACGTCGCGGCGACAACCACGTGGTTGTTAACAAAAGGAATGTGGAAGCTTTGTGTCGATGCAGCCCAATGAATCTATATCTTGGTGCCGCAGAATCTTAACGAAGCATGGCTGCTTAAACGTATCGCTACAAGGGAAGTAAAGAGAGGAGTTTCCAGCAGTCATTGAAACTCCAAGAATCCAAATTCATCCTGAAGCCCCAAGCCAAACCTGGTACAAAAGTGTACCAGGTAGGTTTCATGCAATGGTTGTTTGCCTCTGTCGCGCAAACAAAAGATGGGAGGAAGAAAAAAAAAAAGCGCATTTTCGCTTTCCTGTTCTCAGGCAGTGCATCTAAACGTACAGACTGTACAGATACCGACGTATACAGTGCTTTGATTGTGTTTGTTCCTCAAAAGGCCATTTCTCGAAGCTATCGTGCGATCCACAAGTAGGTGCCTTAAAGGGGCCCTGCGACACTTATCGAACAGCCCTATTTGGCACCCTAACACGCGTAGAGATGATTACTGCGACGAATGCAAGCAAGAATGATGACAATTGGTGCACGGACAGTGAAGTTATGAGTCCTCAAAGTTCAAAACTCGAGCAGACGACGATGAGAAACGTTCTCTTTCGCATTTCACTAGCCTGCGGACGTCAAAGACCGCTTCCAGTCACAGTCCACGTCTCATAAAGGCATTCCGGACATGTCACCTCGTGGTGGTCTTCAGAAAATACCTCACTACCGCTCTTTTTGACGGCGTCGATAGCATGGCTACTATGAACCACGTGCGTCGAGTGGAACCTCAGAAGACGCTCCCACGGTCACTGCGTAAAATACGCACATAAACTTTGGGCAGGGTTTTTTCCCAGCTTGCATGCGAAACTCGTTCTACGTCAACGCCGGTGCCCACCGCCCGTCGCATTGTTGGCTCGCTAAAAACGCGGCATGCCTTTCCATGTTTAGTTGCTTGCTGGTGTACCATAGCCTCGTTCAAAGGATGTGTTGTGTTTGTTGTTCTCCAAATACATCATTTCGAAACAGGAATGACTTCTTTCTGAGAAAGTATAAAATATTTTTTTGGTGTTTCTAGCATTCACTCGTATGGCCTATAGCTACCACCATATGAATATCGCACGCTATTTCTCGCGTCCAGCCAATCAAAAGCGAACGGTGTTTGTCGTCACATCACATGACATTGCGTCACTTGCCATAACAAAAATAGCCGATGTGTGTCGCCGCAGTTGAAACCGAGGTAATTTGTCCCGTGAATTAAAGTTATAACAGCGTCAATTTCGGCGTCGCCATTTGCGCAACGATTGGTTTGATTTGATTGATATGTGGGGTTTAACGTCCCAAAACCACCATTTGATTATGAGAGACGCCGTAGTGGAGGCCTCCGGAAATTTCCACCACCTGGGGTTCTTTAACATGCGCCCAAATCTGAACACACGGGCCTACAACATTTCCGCCTCCATCGGAAATGCAGCCGCCGCAGCCGGGATTTGAACCCGCGACCTGCGGGTCAGCAGCCGCATTTGCGCAACGATATCAGCGCGTTGCATAGCACCTGAAGAACCAAGGAAAAATACATGCTCAAATAGTGTCGCAGGTCCCCTTTAAAAAGCGGCTTCTCGTCATTCTCACGCAGGCCACAAACGACCGGTTTCGCCAAGGAACACTAAAACTGCGGCAGTGACTCTGCAAAGCTGTTTTTCTAACAGTATCTTGAAGCAAGCTTAATGAAAAGCACCAGATAATGAAACCAAGGAAGGTACAGGGCACTTTACTCTGTACTGTTGCAAGTGTATTGAAATGAACGTTAATTGATATGATTGATATGTGCGGTTTAACGTTCCAAAACCGCTATACATGATTACGAGAGACGCCGTAGTGGAGGGCTCCGGAAATTCCGACCATCTGGGGTTTCTAAACGTGCACCCAAATCTGAGCACACGGGCCTACAACATTTTCGCCTCCATCGGAAATGCAGCCGCCGCCGCCAGGCTTCGATCCTGCGACCGGCGGGTCAGCAGCCGAGTACCTTAGCCACTAGACCACCGCGGCGGGGCTGTTGTAATGGATGTGAAGAAAAGCTCTGTCCGTGCCACGCAACCATCGAAGTCGGTATGAGCATGCGATGCTCTTATGAGCTACTGCGACGGTCGTCCACTCATTCACATTACTTTCTTCACATATATATCGCAATCACTACATTACTATTAACGACAACAACCCCAACCTCGGCTTAATTATCTTCTGTTTTTCATGAAGATTGTGTTAAACAAAAGAAAGAACGCTCCCAATTCCCTTCCTCGACTAACGGTTGTGTCATTCCGCCCAGAGAGAACGAGCGACACTCACCAAGCAAAATGACATCCTGTTCAGCGCACTCCTCGATTCTTCACATTTGCCCCGCCGCGGTGGTCTAGTGGCTAAGGTACTCGGCTGCTGACCCGCAGGGCGCGGGTTCGTATCCCGGCTGCAGCGGCTGCATTTCCGATGGAGGCGGAAATGTTGTAGGCCCGTGTGCTCAGATTTCGGTGCACGTTAAAGAACCCCAGGTGGTCGAAATTTCCGGAGCCCTCCACTACGGCGTCTCTCATAATCATATGGTGGTTTCGGGACGTTAAACCCCACATATCAATCAATCAATCGATTCTTCACATTTGACCACCACGTCAACAGTGTTCGCTTATTCGAACGCGAGCAATGGCGTATCAACGGCTGACAAACCAGGTCCGTAGCCTCCCTCCTCACAGTCTTTTTTTTTTTTTTCACTGTATACAGAGCACAAAACGACACTCAACCTCATCTGCCTGCACCCGATCCCTTCCACTAAAAACATTTCCGCCTGAGTCCCTGAATGTGAGTCATCTACGATATGCCGACGTGACCGCTCATGCTCGCGTGAATCTCGTGCTCAGTGTTGCCAACACGGTTTTCGAAGGTCGCGTCTCATACATAGGTGGCACGTGACGTCGTGGACGCAGCTTCATGACGTGCTCGTTGACCAACATGGCGGCTTTGATGCCGTAAAAAGGCAGTACAGTCACATTGCGCTTAACACACTTCAGCGTGGTAACGATGCGATAGCCTTGTTACTGGGCTAAGTGCGTCAATAAATAGGTAACTTGCAAGTGATACGATGATAACACTAATGCGGCGTCGCAAACGTTTTGTATTACCATGCACTACACCAACATGC